GGAACTGAATGTGGCCTTTAGTTAGCTATAATGTGAGCTATTCTGGAGTCTCTTTTGAAATGTACCGCCATACAAACCTTGTGTACTTTTCCCATTCCATCAATCACCTTTTTTCTAAGCATGGTGGATACAATACTCTACCAATACAAAACATATGGCATAAGTCCAGCCAGCTGAGGAATAGATATATTAAGTGCAGATAAATTGCTTTTTAGAAATCCAAGAATTCTATTCATTAAGTTGCTCTTTCTAATTTGAGAAAATTCTAATAAATCTCCCCAAAAGTATATTCGCCCATGTATTGCCATGCAGGATGTAAATTGAAATACATCTATTTAGACCAGGAGACGATCCAGTATGTTTGCCTATATATCGTATGTATCTTCTGACAGCAAAGCCATAGGTCATAGCCAAGGAACATTAGCTTTCCAATGAGATATGTGAGCTTTCAAGGCTGACTCTGTAAGCACTCAAAATACCCAGAACATATTAAATATATCTACCACATATTGAACTAATGCTTTTTTTTCATAGTGAGTAGTTGAAAATGAATAACTGCTCCATTAAACACTAAAAGCCACATCAGAATAGATACATTTTTTCCTGCTTTGTAGCAGAATTGCTCTCTTTGCTCCATAAATTCACAGAACAGCAGGCATCATTTACACTGACAACAGGGAAGCTTCCAATAATGTACAGCACTTGGACCAAATTGGCTGGAGTGGAAACTGGGTTCGATGCTTTGTGCAACATGTATCAGACTACCCATAATAAAGGTTTAAGGCTTTGATTCAGCAAGGCGCTTAAGCATGGACTTAATTTTAAGTATGTGAGTAGGCCCATTGACTTCAGTGGGATTAGTCTCATGCTTAAAGTTAGGCATCTGCTTAGAAACCTGGCTGAATCAGGGCCTTAAAGTGGTTACTGTATAAATGAGAAATCCCATTGCTGACTGTTCGCAATGTTGCTCCTTGTATGTAAAGCTGGCACCAAATACTTTCTGGATAGATTAAATATGTTGACCCTGTTGAATTTAGTCATGTTTAAAAAAATCCTGTTTTGTTGCTGTTTTTTTTCATCTCCTTAGATGAAGGTAACCAGTTTTCTATTTTAGATTTACTCCTTTCCCTTGTTTATTTCTATACTACATTGTCTCAGTGGCATCTGTACCCTGGCAGACCAGGCGCCAGCTCATGCCAAGGTCCCCATGATTCAACTGAAGACTGACAAATAAGTAGCTGAAATCTGTCTGGTTCACTTGTGGGTTAATAGTGATAAAATAAGTATTAGCATGACAAGCAAGTGTTTAGTCTTTGGACGCTGTTGAATATTAGTGAGTTGCTGCATGCATTAATCTTAGTTGTAATATGTGTATTCCATATTATAATGTAATATTTGGGTGGGTATAGTGTGAACCCTTCTGTGACTGTATCAATCACCGCACAGGAGAGGGACATTAATTAAGTGAGAAGAGCTGCTCTTCTACAAAAATTGTTACCACCACCCCCCTCCGAAAGAGGAGTCCCATCAATACCAGAGAGGCTATGGTTGGATCTTACAACTGGAAACTCCCTACTTCTGATTTGAGGAACAGTCAACAAATGGACTAAAGACTCTTATTGTTCTGATCTCCCAGTGAATGTGAGTCACATAAGTGGACTCTTCCCACCACCAGAGTTAGCAGCTGAGATCCCATAAAAGAACTAAGGATCTCTCTGATACTGGAATTCTGTGGGGGGCAAGGCATTTCCTAGGCATATTCAAGAAAGCCCCAGCTGCTTAGCTGGGGTTAACCCTAAAGAACAAACAGAGCTTGCTGATTATAGAAACCTCTATTACCTTTTAAAACCTATAACTCATTCAGGTGTCTATATTCACTTGCTTTAACCTTGTAAATAACTCTCTAGTTTCCTTTTCCTATTTAATAAATCTTCACAAAGTTTGTTATAGGATTGGCCTCAAACCTTGTCCTTGATGTGCAAGCTACAGTGCAGTTGACCTGGGGTAAGTGACTGGTCCTTTGGGACTAGGAGTAACCTGAATATTGCTGTGAATTTTCGTTTTAAGGGCCATCTATCACAGAGATATGCTCACGTGGGTGACAAGACAGACTGGAGTATCCAAGGGGACTGTCTGTGACTCCATTTAAGGCTATGTGCCCCTGAGGAGTTGGCACTTAGTGCAATTGGTTGGTGAAATCTCAGTTTAAAACTCATGACCAATTTGGGGTTTGGGCCCTTGTTTTTTAACAGTTTGCCCTGAGGTTGGTGCCCATGCTCTGTGTCACTCTTGGGAACGTCACAATGTCTTTTTAAGCATCCCAGAGAAATTAGGGCCCAACCCTGCAAGGTGCTGCGTGCCTCGTGTGAGTTTCTGAGCATGAAAGCCATGATCCTACAAACAGTTAAGCACATGCTTAACTCTACACGTGTGAGCAATTATGGGACTACTGTCATATAAAATTAAGCACATGTGTATGTGTGTGCCATATTGGACCTTATGTCCCATTGATTCGTTTCATTAGCATTCTAATAGAAAACTCCTGCAAAACACCTTCGGTTAATGAAAGCATTTGTTTAACATCAATGCATGTAACCCAGATTTCACTGTCAATGTACTGTAAGGTGCAGTGTTCAAAATAGCCAGTGCTCCAAATGTGAAGAAAAAGAAGGGGAATTCATATAGGCTAAAGCACCTGCTTCACTTTAAGCATGTGAGAAGTCCCACGTAATGGTACTTCACTGCTTAATTTTCATGGGACTACTTAGGTATTCAAAGTTAGGCACATGATTAAGTACCTTGCTGGAGCAGGCTGCCATGAAGGCCTGAAATGGGGACTGGGACACAGAACCAAGTCAGACCAGGCATTGCAAGTGCAATGCCAACTTTGAATTCCTGTTGTCTAATCCTTTCACTTTGCTTTTCTGATGCCATTTCCTTTGCTTTTTCAACCTTTGGCAGCGCTTTCATCTTGTTCTAGCGGAACAGTGTTTTTATAACTTGTGAAAAGCTATAGGACTTAGTTCCTGTTGGACAGGGGTCAGCAGGAAGTGGCAGAGCTCAGCTCCCGCTCAGTTCGGGGGAAACTCCTCCTTTGCTGAAAGGCCCACACAAGGCTTGCCTGGACTGGGAGGAAAGGGATGTGAAGGCACAGTATTTGTGCAGGGGTGCCTCTGCACACTCTGTGCCAGCTAGGAATGAGCTGATGTAGAGGGAAGATAGTAGTCTGGATAGGGAAATAGCAACGGAATCTGCACTTGTGTAGTCCAATGGCCAGTGATGTCTGCATAGGGGCTGCACAGGCACAGCCGTCTCTACTAGAGCTGGATGAAGTTTGGGGGGAAATCATTTGTTTGCTGAAAAATTCAGTTTTGGTGACTCGATTCTGGCCAACAAATTCCACATGTCCCTTTTGGCAAGGGAAGAGATTTTCAGGGCTAGGAAACAGCATGTGTCCCCACTTTATAACCTATAGCCCAATAGCTAAGGAATTTGCCTGGGAGGCAGGGAAACCTAGGTTTGACTCCTTGTTCTGAACTAGGGATTTGAACTCAGAATTCCCCTAACTGCTAGGCTATAGGCTATTCTAGGGTGAGCTGCTCTCAATTTCTCCTGATGAAGTTGTTCCACTTTGTAGAAATACTTAAATATACATTGAACCAAAGAGAGAGTGTGTGTGAGAATGATTCTGTAGCCTGGAGATCAAGGCACTCACCTAGAAGGTAGGAGATATGGATTCAAATCCCTCCTCTGAATTAGGCAGAAAAAGATCACTTTGCTGTCTTATAGACTGGCCTACTGACTGTGATGCAGCCCTCCATCTTGCCTCTAGGCTAGGGTTTGCATTCATGCCCCTCTCCCTCTATAGGACAGCCAGCAGCATAAAGCCCCATTGCTCTGGCTCTGTGTGGGATTTATGATCATCATCCTTTGAGTATTGCCAATTTTCATGTATCATTAATACCTCCACCTGTAAGCCATATTCCAACAGAGACACAGTGTGCAAATAAAAGTGCCTGATTATCAGAATTAGCTGCACTCTATACCTTTGTAAGAATTTCAAATGACCATTGACTCCGATTTCAACACAAGTGCATGCATTTATGTGACTCTATATCCTGAATAATAAAGGGATACATGCAAAATATTTTCAGGGATACTATCTTTGTAACAAAACATGGAGGATCTTTTAGTGCAGGCAGAGAGTCTTTGTTTAAATATATTTTAGTAAACCCAGAATGAATGGAATAGCTCCATCATAAATAGACAAACCAAAAAACCACAAATGAAACAAAACCATTGTGTATTATGGTACTTCTGATTCATTCCTTGCCATACAGGAGATACATCAAAGATTCAAGAAGACAAAAGAGATGGGATCTATTTAATATCCAGGGTGAGAGTAAACAATTTAAATCATTTACAAATGTTGCTCTTTTATTTTAAATACATCTGAACAAATAGAATATTGAGGCTGTGTACAGAAAAGACAGAAGTAGTATAATTGTTGGGAATAGAAAAACCCAGAGATTATCTGCCTGGGGATAGGGCTGAATAAACTGAAGAGATTTTCAAAAAGTTTTTTGGTGTTTTAAGAAGCATATGGAAAAAATGTTTTATTTCAAGGCTTTTTCACCCCATTTCTCTTCTCAAAGAGAACAAAAACCTCAGAAAGTTCCAAAAGTTTGTACATCATGGATGTGTGTGTTTCTTCTACCTTTAAAGATCAGAAACATCCCCTCCCTATCTGCATCCCAGTACACTTGACATAATCTCATCTTGGATGGGAAACAAGACTTGGTGTCACTGAAAAAAATAATTTGGAAAATTAATCAGGAGTTATATTTAGCATGGTTATTGTTTTGTACAGCTGTTAACCATAATCATTGAAAAAAGAAAAGGAGTACTTGTAGCACCTTAGACACTAACCAATTTATTTGAGCATGAGCTTTCGTGAGCTACAGCTCACTTCATCACTGTAGCTCACGAAAGCTCATGCTCAAATAAATTGGTTAGTCTCTAAGGTGCTACAAGTACTCCTTTTCTTTTTGCGAATACAGACTAACACGGCTGTTACTCTGAAACCCATAATCATTGAAATTATCAAAAAGGGTTTGGTTGGCTTAGTATCAATATGGTGCAACTGACAAGAATTTAAAAAAAAAATCACATATATTCTTTAGTTTTTTCCCAATTGAGATTTGTAGATTACTTGCTTTTTGATGGACTACAGTAGAAAACAGCAGGAAAACCCTAATTAGTAGCTGCAAATTAATGTCATCCAGATACAATTGTGTTGCATAGTCCTGCCCAGACCACTACAGTTTCTACTAGGACTTGGAATCTGTGAAAAACAGAACATTTGTAAAGTCTGTTGATGGACATTGTAAATCCAGCAGTCTCTAGAGATTAGGAGGCACTGCTTTTTCCTTCTATCTCTGGATTTTCCAACATGGTTTCGGATATTTCTCCACCCTCTGCTTCTTCATCTAAAGAGACATAATAAATACATGATAAAACTCCCAGCAGCATGCATTCTCATTCAAGAGGTTGGCCATTTAATCAAAGATAAATATATACTGATCACTACTAGCTCTTAACTACCACAGTGACAGATGTTTTAGCAAAACCACTTGACAGCTAGAATAGATAGCTTAGACAGATATGACTTGCATCGCATTTTCCAACAGCAATTCCCTATTGATGCTGAGTTGCTTGCCCTGTGCTTATACTGATCAATGGGTATTTCATTGTAAGATTAAAACTGGAGATAATTTCTTTGATTTTTCTCCTGTCATTTCCAAAGATAAGAAAGAATTTCATATCTCTGAGTGTTGCTTGGTTGCAGACAGAGAATGTTACAATTTATGGGGGTGCCAGTTATGGAATGACTGACTTTTCTTAGCACTGAAATGCTTCATAGACTCCACTTTGCCTTTGCAAGGTGAAGATTTTCTTTCTGATTTAGAACGTTCACTCTTTTATGGACTGGGTTAGAGTGATCCTTTGAATACAACAAAACCATGGTAGCCTGAAAAGATCATTAAAATAGAATTGTACTGTATATCTTCTGACGTATTATACTGTTAATTCTTTACCACTGATTAAGTATACAAGTAAATGTAAACTGCCCTCTGTTTTGTTTTCTTTACTGCTCAGCAGCCCTTTCTAAAACTATACTGCCCTCAAGCCACAGGTGGTATATCCGCTGATGTCAATGGGATTTGCACACTCAAATTTAGGGCAGACTATGGCTTTTAGGGATCTGTTCAGACCAGGTAGCTCTGATTTAAGTATACAGTACTTGGCTGTGGAGCTCTCTGAGTCTTATGAATTTTGACTGTCAGAACCTAAGTGGTAAATTTTCAGCAAGCAGCCCTGAGAACTTGCCATAAAACTACCATTAGCAAGAAGAACTGTGTATCTTATATCCACCAGAGTGAAAATATGCAACTAAGCATAATTCTGGAGCCAGTGCTCCCTAGCATCACAAGCTCCATTCTGCAGGATTCTGATCAACTGCTGGAGGTGCTGAGCCCCCTCAACAACCAGAGAAGTTACTGGAAGTTGAGAGCAGCCCCTTCATGAGTTGCTTAGCACCCTGATTGAGCTGCTCATGCTCGCATCCAGCTGCAATGAGCTAGCTCTAATTCTAGAGCAGGGGTTCTCAAACTGTGGGTCGGGACCCCTCAGGGGGTCATAGGGTTATTACATGTGGGACTGCGAGCTGTCAGCCTCCACCCCAAACTGCACTTTGCCTCCAGCTTTTATAATAGTGTTAAATATATAAAAAGTGGTTTTAATTTTATAAGGGAGGGCTTGCTATGTGAAAGGGGTCACCAATACAAAAGTTTGAGAACCACTGTTTTAGAGTGACGGTGGTGACAGATAATTTATCCTCTGCTCTTCGTCCTTGCACAGCTAGTGCTGATTGGCTGAGAAAGAAGCCATACTGGGGTCATCTGCCAGTCAGTAAGAACTTTATTGAGCTGTTTTCAAAGTAGCAGCCTTGTTAGTCTGTATCCGCAAAAAAAACCAGGAGTACTTGTGGCACCTTAGAGACTAACAAATTTGTTAGAGCATAAGCTTTCAAGATGGCCCATTTAGACAGTTGACAAGAAGGTGTGAGGATACTTAACATGGGGAAATAGATTCAATATGGGTAATGACCCAGCCACTCCCGGTCTCTATTCAAACCCAAGTTAATGGTATCTAGTTTGCATAATAATTCAAGCTCAGCAAAAAGAAAAGGAGTACTTGTGGCACCTTAGAGACTAACCAATTTATTTCTCATTAGAGTCTGTTTTGAAGCTTTTCTGTTGCAGAATTGCCACCCTTAAGTCTTTTACTGAGTGGCCAGAGAGGTTGAAGTGTTCTCCTACCGGTTTTTGAATATTATGATTCCTGATGTCAGATTTGTGTCCATTTATTCTTTTGCGTAGAGACTGTCCGGTTTGGCCAATGTACATGGCAGAGGGGCATTGCTGGCACATAATGGCATATATCACATTGGTAGATGTGTAGGTGAACAAGCCTCTGATAGTGTGGCTGATGTGATTAGGTCCTATGATGGTGTCCCTTGAATAGCTATGTGGACAGAGTTGGCAACGGGCTTTGTTGCCAGGATAGGTTCCTGGCTTGGTGTTTTTTGTTGTGTGGTGCGTGGTTGCTGGAGAGTATTTGCTTCAGGTAAGAAGCACATTTTTTCCCCCCAACAACTAAGCTTTCCAGAGGCTAAAATGAAACAAATGGGAGGAATCTTTCTTGATCTCCAGCTGTTTTGTTTACTCTATTTTATTCAATTTAGTTCTCTCTCTCTCTCTCTCTCTCTCTCTCTCTTTCTCTCAAGGGTGATTGTGCCTAACTATATAAAGCTTAATAAATTTTTTTTAAACCAATGAATATTTCATTGGGCTTGGCTAATGCAGTGTTTCCACCTCCACAGCTCCAGCTGTGAATAACAGCCCAAATCCACAGTGTTCTCAGCTACATCCCATTCAGTAATCGAAATGGCAGCTTCCCAGTGGTGTAGTGGTTAAAAAAAAAAAAAAAGAGATGTGCGTAAATGAACCAAAACTAAACTCTAGATTCCCCAAATGCAAAGTTGGTGATCTCCATTTACCTGCATTTACCCTCATTACACTATTGCAGCTCCCCTTTCCCCAGTCTGAGCATAAAGGGACCCATGCTGAGCTCAGAGTAGAAAGATTTATTACAGTTCTTGTAAAATGAAATCTTATACGTTGGCCAACATAAATAATTCTCATTATATTTATCAAGAATGTGGTGGAGTGGACTCTTAGGGTATGTCTACATTGCAATTAAAAACTCATGGTTGGTCCATGCCAGCTGACTCAGACTCAAGCTAAAAGGCTGTTTAATTGCATTGTAGATGCTGGGGCTTGTGCTGGGGTTTGGGTTCTAGGATCTTGTGCAGTGGGAGGGTCCCAGAACTTCGGCTGCAGTCTGAGCCTGAACTTCTACACTGCAATTGAACAGCCCAAGCCCCACAAACCCAAGTCAGCTGGCACAGGCCAGCCCCGTGTGACATTACACTCAATATGTTTGATAGAAATATGTTTATAAGTGTAAATGTGATGGAACTGGAATATGCTTTATGTGAAAGGTCTCTTGTAAGGTATCATTACAAAGCTTATGATCTACTGAGTGTGTTCATCCTATTTGTATGAATGTATCATTCTTGTATCTGAAACTAGAAATATGAAGTATTACTCTGAAGTACTATTGTAACAATGCAAAGTGTGGGCCATTAATGGTGGCTTGGAATCTTGATGGCTCCCATCAACTAGGACATTGGTTGTGAATGGCTCTGTTTACTTGTGAGCCTTCCTGTATACCTGGGTGCCAGTGAGTAATGAAGTCTCACAGGACATGTGAACATGTCACCTCGTACTGGAATCTATCTTAAACCTGGTGCGTTTCCATTTAGAAGGAAGGGTGGGAACCAAGAGAGAGACAAAGGATTGCCGCCTTGTGCCAAAAATATAAAAGGGGGTGGAACAGAACAAAGGGGGTTGCCAGTCATGAGAAATCCCCTAGCTATCACCTGAGCTGGAACTAACAAGAACTGTACTGGGGAAAGGAACTGGGCCCAGACTAAGAGCTTGTCTACACTGGCAATTTATAGCGCTGCAACTTTCTCGCTCAGAGGTGTGAAAAAACACCCCCCTGAGCGCAGCAAGTTGCAGCGCTGTAAAGCGCCAATGTAGACAGTGCACCCGCACTGGGAGCCATGCCAAAGGTTATGGGCTTAATCTTCAGCAAGGGAGATTTAGGATAGACATTAGAAAAACAGGTTGGACAAATACCTGTCAGGGATGGTCTAGGTTTGTTTGGTCCTGCTTCAGCATTGGGGGCTGGACTCAATGACTTCTCAAGGTCTCTTCCAGCCCTACATTTCTATAATTCTTCTTTCTGTGCCCGTCTCTCTCCCCGTCTACATTATAATGCTCTGCCCTTTAACTTTGTGCTTCTGTTCTCCACACACATACATCCAAAATTTCTGATTCTTTCTCCACCCTTTTCATTTCAAGCCAGCAGGTGGCAAGTTGATACCTTTTTGCTCCTCTACTTAAGTGCTCTATCTTCCTGTGGGATCTGCTGAGAAAAGGTCTGCCTGTTCATTACCCTCTTGCAAGTCCCCCGTGATCCACAGTGGGGTGGAAATATCAGTTATAGAACCTCAGCGATATATGAAACTGCAGATAAGACAATCATGGAAGATAAATAATAAGAACAGCTTCTCTCTTTGAGAGCTCTTAGGGGCCAGAAACTAGCTGAGAATCCCCTTCAGTTGAGCAAACTCTCAGCTGGGATAAAGCTGGTGTAGCTGTCCCCTCACCACCCCTTCGTGGGTGGACCTGGCAGAGGAGGACAAGGCAGAACACAGCTCTCCTCCACAAATTCACAGCTGAAATATGGTCCCCTGGGGTGAAATCCAGCTCTAGTAAGTTAGGAACATCCCTAGATGGTGCTGATTTATGCTTGAGTTGGGCCCAAAGCTGCTGTGGTTTCAGAATTGGGGTGCTGCAAGTGGCTTCCTGACACCTCTTGCCCTCCTGTGCTGAGACCCCAGTGCAGAAGAGAATCTGGCACATAAGGCAAGTAACTGACTAACAAGATGATCGGTGGCACAACAGTGTTGTGGTGTTGGTGGTTGTTTCTTGTAGTTGTTGCTGCTGCATGGATTTGGAATTCATCGTATAATTCCAGCTCCCCAGCTAGCGAACAACGGGCATAAGGATGGATACGGCAAGTTTAGCTGAAGTCTGGTATAAAATTAACCTGTCCCAATTAATGGGCACAACAAATGGCTGCTTTGGAAAACAGATGCAGATTTAGTTCTAGCTGGAGAAGAAATACTACCATTGCACTTGACGACAAAACTGAGAGAAGTGGTGAAGGTCTTGGAAGAAAATGGAGGATAACTGCATGAAACCCTTAGTTCTCACCAATTTGTAGGCATTACCTTGTGACACAGAAAGTTCAGCTAGTTTGTGTGGCAGGTCTGAAGTCCCTGCCCCAGCCCCAGCCCCAGCAGGAGAGCCCAGAATATCTGGTAAGGCATTTCGGCGGCCTGCCCTTCCCGATGCTGCAAAATCTGTGACCACAGGCTCCACATCAGTCATTTCTGACTTCTTTCTTCATAGCAAGGTCTGCAAACAGAACACGCACCAAAACAAACAAACAAACAAACAAAAAAAGCCATAGTCTGTCTTGAAACATGTAGTAATCCTGTTACATAACAATGGAAGGTGAGTCAGCTTCTGGATAATCAAATGCCAATGGCTTGTGAAAAGTGACCAGCTAGTGCTTTCTTAATAAATGTCACATACTTCAATACCCTGCTGCCATAACTTTATCTATGCTCTGAGAAAACATTTCACTGTTCATTCCTTCTGTTTCCATTTGTACTTTAGCAGAACAAACACAGCCTAGCATAATGGATAGCTCTCAGTACCAACAAGGTACCAATAAATAGAGGCAGCTTTTCTATGAGCCACTTGTATATGGGTGTGTGTGTGTGTCTTGATCCCCTTTCTTTTTTTCTCTCTCTCTTTGTACTTGGTTTTACCAGACAGTCACTTGGAAGGGAATTGAAACTCTGCCTTGCTATGTTGTCTCCGAGAAACACTCAGTGGGTTGTATTAATTAATCATTGATAATTATTATTATTATCCTTATTTAGGCTGATGCAAAATCCTTCCACAACTGGAGCAAGGTGTAAAGAAAGAACTCTGTGCTTTAGTTCTGACAAAAAACTAAACATAAAATCTCACAATTCCATAAAAGTCCTTTATCCTGCAAGTACAGGTGCTTTTACTTTGCCCTGTTCCCTCAGAAATACTTTTAGTTAGGTTTAAATAAGACTTGTTGTCTCTTACAAATAATGTCCTTGTGTAAATAGGTAGAACCAGTATTTCCCTATGCACTAAAAAGCCTGCTTCAAAGCCCACTGAAGTCAGTGGAAAGGCTCTCATTGACTGCAGTGGGCTTTGGATCTGGCCTTAGGGGACTGAGAAAAGTTATTTGCCTGCAAAAGTGTTTGCAGGATCTGGCCCTGACATATCAGCTGAGGTGGGAGTGTCTGCACCCAAAGGGGCGAGCTGGGTTGGGGTGGGCTGAATAGAGTTGCAAAGTGTAATGTGTATGTATAGTTTGTAACAATTACAAATAGTAACTGAAATTAACAGCAACAAAACAATTTGTCCATGACACAAATCATTTGTGGTAACAAGAAGAGTAATTTCTATCAATCAGATACTACTTGCTCTATTTAAAGTAATATTTACTTCCTTTTGCGAAGTTTGACAGTCTTTTTAATAAATAAGGTCAGTACTTTAAATGGGGAGGGGAGAGGAGGCGTGGTCTGAATGGAAGACTAGGAATTTTGGGGTCCTGACTGACATTCTTCATGGCAATTGTCCCTATTCAGAAGAGATTTTTTTTAAAGGAAAATATAAACCATGTTGCCACTCTGTTTTCTCCTGTCTAGACTGCGGCTTATAAAACGTTTCATTTCTATAGCACTTTTCACTTGAGAAGCATAAAGCATTTTACAGTCCCTAGTAATGTCAGCCTCATAACACCCCGGTGTGGTAGGTCTCCATTTCCCATCTTCTAGATGGGAAAATTGAGGCAGATAGAGATTAAACATGATTTGCTCAAGGTCACACCGGAAGGCTCTGGCAGATCCAGAAATAGAACCCATCTCACCTGACTCCTAGTCCTGTGTTTTAGCCACAAAGACGATTCTTCCTCCCTTCTTGTAAATTCCTTGCCATTGTTCAGCTCCAATTTCAAGCATAAATATTCTAAATTCATCTTTGCATTTGTCAAGAGCTAAATATACTTTAAAAATTAATGGCCAATAGTGACAGGCATGAGCAAACTGTTTCACACAACATGAATGTGTAAATGAACCACTCTATTTAAACAAGTGCAGCCCCTGTAAGTGCAGACTTGGTGGGCAAGTGGAACCTTCTTGCCTTGAATACAATGGTCACAGGTTCAAATCCTGGCCAATCTTGCCCATATATGATTTAAATAAATATAAACTGATATAATTATCCATCTAATATGCTATCCTGACAAGAAATGCTGAAAGGAGAGATTATGTATTGCATATACATTATTCATCATAAATATTTGTCTGTTTTTACTTACTTCCTAGAGGAGTTCTGCAGTTATTGCTCATGTGCTCTGTCTTCTCATGACAGCAAGGAAAGAGGCTGCAAATCAGATTTCAAAACAGAAAAGAGCAAGACTGTAATCAGTGTCTTCCTTAGCCATTAAACTTTTAAACGTTGTTATTTGTTCCCGGAGCCCAGCCCCCAGTACCACAAGCAGCTCCTTCCTCTTTTGAGCTAGCCAGTCAAGTATTATGCTGGATCTAGCCAGACCAGTATTGTTCCTCTTTGACTGCAGTTTTTAAAGATACGTGGTGTCGTTGTAGCCATGTTGGCCCCAGGATATTAGGGGGGCACAGTGGGTGAGGTAATATCTTTTATTGGACTAAGCAGACAAATCACGAATACACATATTTTTGAAACCTTTTTTTTCCTCCCAGTCTTTTCCCTGAATGCAAGGCTTACTTGCAGACACATTACTGTGGTTATTCTTCTTGGGACGACTGACTAATCCTCATGAAATGTCATAGTGCCGGACATTGGTTTTGCTCCCAGTTCACACAAGAAACAGAAAGAAAAAAAAATCTCCATTTGGTATTCTTAAACATGTCTGTCTTTTTTAAAAAGAAAAGGAGTACTTGTGGCACCTTAGAGACTAACCAATTTATTTGAGCATAAGCTTTTGTGAGCTACAGCTCACTTCATTGGATGCATACTGTGGAAAGTGTAGAAGATCTTTTTATACACACAAAGCATGAAAAAATACCTCCCCCCACCATGCTTTGTGTGTATAAAAAGATCTTCTACACTTTCCACTGAATGCATCCGATGAAGTGAGCTGTAGCTCACAAAAGCTTATGCTCAAATAAATTGGTTAGTCTCTAAGGTGCCACAAGTACTCCTTTTCTTTTTGCGAATACAGACTAACACGGCTGTTACTCTGAAACCTGTCTTTTTTAAATCTTCATACCTGGTTCTTAAGAAAATACACTTTCTGCCCACCATCAAAGAGAGAGTTATATTCCTTAACACTGTCATCTTTTGAAAGTCCATTTTTTAAGAAGCCTTCCTGTATCAGAGAACTCTACTCAAGAACATCTGGAAAAGATGACATATAATAACTAAGAGTTAATGGGCCAGAGCCATATTCAGATTTATTCTGTATCTTGATGGACTCTCAATGCATGGTCAACATCATTTAAGTCATATTTTATTCATGAAAAGCTTTCCATTGTTTTCACTTATAAATAATAATAATACTTTGTGCTCTTCTGGCATTTTTCTCCAAAGATCTCTGGCTACAAGAGCGCTTTCATGTGACAGCAGCCTAGGCCCTATTAAATGATATACTGCCTGCAGTGTAAAAGAGAGGAAAATGACACCTTAGCTATGCAATTCCTGTGTTTTCATAACCTCTTATGTTGCGATATGCTCTGATGGCATTACTACCTACTGCTAAGAATTTCTTCTATACTTAGGACTCCCTCATAATACATGCTGTCAAGGTTTCTTCCCCACTCTGAACTCTAGGGTACAGATGTGGGGACCTGCATGAAAGACCCCTTAAGCTTATTTTTACCAGCTTAGGTTAAAACTTCCCAAGGTACAAACTTTGCCCTGTCCTTGAACCGTATGCTGCCACCACCAAGCGTTTTAAACAAAGAACAGGAAAAGAGCCCACTTGGAGACGACTTCCCCCAAAATATCCCCCCAAGCTCTACACCCCCTTTCCTGGGGAGGGCTTAATAAGAATCCTCACCAATTTGTACAGGTGAACACAGACCCAAACCCTTGTATGTTAAGAACAATGAAAAAGCAATCGGGTTCTTAACAGAAGAATTTTAATTAAAAAAAAGGTAAAAGAATCACCTCTGTAAAATCAGGATGGTAAATACCTTACAGGGTAATCAGATTTAAAACATAGAGAATCCCTCTAGGCAAACCCTTAAGTTACAAAAAGACACAAAAACAGGAATATACATTCCATCCAGCACAGCTTATTTTACCACCTTATTTTACCAGTTTATTTTACCTCATTAAACAAAAGGAAATCTAACGCATTTCTAGCTAGATTACTTACTAACTAACAAAAAGAAAAGGAGTATTTGTGGCACCTTAGAGACTAACAAATTTATTTGAGCATAAGCTTTTGTGAGCTACAGCTCATTTCATCGGATGCATTCAGTGGAAAATACAGTGGGGAAATTTATATACATAGAGAACATGAAACAATGGGTGTTACCATACACACTGTAACAAGAGTGATCACTTAAGGTGAGATATTACCAGCAGGAGAGCGGGGCGGGTGGGTGGGGGGAACCTTTTGTAGTGATAATCAAGGTGGGCCATTTCCAGCAGTTGACAAGAACGTCTGAGGAACGGTGGGGGGTGGAATAAACATGGGGAAATAGTTTTACTTTGTGTAATGACCCATCCACTCCCAGTCTCTATTCAAGCCTAAGTTAATTGTATCCAGTTTGCAAATTAATTCCAATTCAGCAGTCTCTCGTTGGAGTTTATTTTTGAAGTTTTTTTGTTGTAATATTGTGACTTTTATATTTGTAATCGAGTGACCAGAGAGATTGAAGTGTTCTCCGACTGGTTTTTGAATGTTATAATTCTTGACGTCTGATTTGTGTCCATTTATTCTTTTACACAGAGACTGTCCAGTCTGACCAATGTACATGGCAGAGGGGCATTGCTGGCACATGATGGCATATATCACATTGGTAGATGTGCAGGTGAACGAGCCTCTGATAGTGTGGCTGATGTGATTAGGCCCTATGATGATGTCCCCTGAATAGATATGTGGACACAGTTGGCAACGGGCTTTGTTGCAAGGATAGGTTCCTGGGTTAGTGGTTCTGTTGTGTGGTGTGTGGTTGCTGGTGAGTATTTTACTAACTAACAGGAATTGTAAGGTTGCATTCCTGATCTGTTCCAGGCAAAGGTATCACACAGACAGACAGACCCTTTGTTCCCCCCCTCCAGATTTGAAAGTATCTTGTCCTCTCATTAGTCATTTTGGGTCAGGTGCCAGCTAGGTTACCTTAGCTTCTTCATCCTTTACAGGTAAAAGGGTTTTGCCTCTGGCCAGGAGGGATTTTACAGCATTATATACAGAAAGGTGGTTACCCTTCCCTTTATATTTATGACATATGACATATTTATGACATATATGCTAATACTATTACTGGTGGGAAGAGGGAAACATTTTGAAGAGCTTGCCACTACCACTGTATCTCCCACCATATGAGGAATCTGCTATCAAATATTCCA